GGCCCGCCGGCCGCCCTCGTGCAGGTGTTCGGCAAGAGCCGTGCGTGTGGCCGAGCGCCCGGGGAGCCTGGAGCGCGCGGAGCCGTCACCACGAGTTACTGCCCTGCAGTGCCCCTTGGGGTGTCCCTGGGGAAAGGCTGGAACGGGACAGGAGTTTCCCCGTGCCCCCTTCAGTTCCAGGCGCACACCTCCCACAGCCATTCCGAGCAGAAGGATAACCGACAGCGCCCGGGTGTAGGGGAGGGTGACCTGCTTGTCTGCCCTCCGCAGAGCCGCGTGGCTCAGCGCGAGGGCTGACGGCGCGAGTCCAGCCKGCTTGGCCAGCAGCAAACCGGCGCCAAGGAGCTCCGCGCTGGGCCTCGTCCGTTTGCCAGCGCCGCTGCGAGCATCGCAGCGCAGCCGGCACCGAGGTGTCCACGCGCTGCGTACGGACGTGGACCAAAAACACGCCTCCGTGTCGCGTGGGCAAGCCCTCACTCAGGCAGACCCGGTTTGGGGCGCTTTTATCAACTTCCTAGGGTTTCAGTCCATTTGAGATACCATTAGATACAATTTAGATGCAATTCTGTAATTTCACTTTTTTTTTTTTGCCTTTGGTATCATGTTCCCAATTCTATTGCACCTGGAACCTGATCTTTTTTTTTTTGTCCTTGTCTGTAAGAGACAGCAGCTAAGGTGCTGACTTTGTGTTTTCCTGATTCTCTTCTCAGTGCTGATCATTTTATCTGACAAAATTCAGTACTGTCCTCCGTGCTGCCTGTCATGTCTTCAGCATCTTTCCTGTAACCACGAAGCTTCTTTCTCTTAAAATTACAAAAGTGAATGTTAAAAGCTTTAGGAAATACAGTTGAAAATAGTTTTGCACGCTTAAATCTAACAGAAATAACTTCTGCAGTTATGTATATTTGAACTGTCAGTAAATACACTATTGTCCTAGATTTGAGCTGCTTTTGCTCTGTTCTTCCTAGCCAAAGCTGTGTCACCAATTGCTAGGGTTAAGTTACTAAGATCTGTTTTATGAGTAAGTGCAACTTTATTGAAGAGGGAATTTTGGTCATTCTAGTGATACAGAATTCTGGAAGAAGTAAGTCAGCTTAATGTGAAACATTTTCCAAAACTATCTGACAGAGAACACATTCAGCAATTGGACTTTTCCAGGCCCTCAGAGACTTTTATAGCATACAGAACTTTCAAATAATTGTAAAAACAKGACTTCACAAGCCTTTACTGTGCATGCCTTCAGTTCACTTGTTTTCACCTCTAGTACATATGAACACTYACCTCTGTGTTTTAAGGGGCACTGAGGAAAACCCTTTTGATCCTCACCTAGTGTTTACTATGTTGGCTACTAATTAAGCTGTGTTCCTCATTCCATCACTTGTCTATATGACCCTGAGCAAATCATTTTGTCTTYGTCCTTTTTGCCTATTCGGACTGCTAAACCTTAGCCTAGGCTGTGGGTTATTTCTTACATTATTATATATATATATACATTTTTTTTTTTACAATTTCCAAATAAGACAGGGAGTGAAGCAGAAAAAAAAAGAAAGTGAGTATAGGTAACACTTGATCATCAAAAATCATTCTGGCAGCAAGTCAAATTCAATTCATTTAAACCTGGAACTGCTGACATTCCTCTGCTATGTTTTATATGAAAGTAACTCTAATTTTAAAAGATTACTTAGACTGCTTAGAAAATCAAACTTAGAATTRTTTTAAACATAGGAATAAGATGATAGAAATAAAGCAAATAAGGGAAAAACACCTACAGTGGGAAAACTCATAAATACCCTGTAGCCCAGTTGATCCTCTATTAAAAATATATATATATGAAATGGGTGTTCCATCAGAAAGGGTTATGAAGCCTTGTTGTAAAGGGACATAAACATCTGGCAATACACCTGGTCTCTACACATATTTATAAATCACCTCAAGCATCCCAAGGTASCACAGAGAACACACGCAAAAATTGAGCTAGGAACATCCATAAGCCAAGGAAAATAAAAACGATCCCAGTTTAGCGTGGAAAAAAATGCATCTCGTTTACTGCATCAAGACAGTTTGGGAAGACACAGTACAATTTTGCACTTCTTGCACCTTTGCACCTGCTGCCTCTCATTTATATCCTCCAGGCAGCAAGGAAGCCTGGAGGCCTTTGGCTCCTGCCCAGCGCTGACGGTGCAGCGCGGTGCCGCGGGAGCGGGCGGCTCGCGCACGTTCTGCTCCACAGCTTTTCCGCTCATCTCCACGCTCCTCCGAGAACTTCACCGTTTCGGTGCCTTTTTAGAAAAGGGCTCGTGCAGTGAGTCTCCTGATGCTGCTTGTTACTGCTCGAAATAATAAAAGAAGTCAGCTTCAGGAGGTGGGTGAATATGTGGCGAGTTGCAGTGCAGATGCCAGCTTTGCCGCTGAGCCTTCCAGTGTGCACATTGCGTAGGGAGGGTCCAGGAGGAGAGCGTGACGTGATGAAGAGCAAGACTGTTGGTGTGATGTTTAAGTCCAAAGCTGCATGCTTAAGTGTCAACATCATGCAGTTAGGCTGTGGAACCTGCTTCAAATTTGGCCCCTAGTATTTCCTTCTTGTCTCTCCTATAACACAGTTTTTCTGTTTTCTTCAAATTGCCGAGTGGTGTTATACTAATTATCATTCATTCTGTCCACTTTGGGCTTTTTGTTTGTTTGTTTGTTTGTTTGTTTGTTTTTTCCTGTAAAAAACAAATCCACTGTGGACATCACTCATTCATGGCTGTATGTTTTGGGTTTAAGCGTCATATTACTGATTTTGGACCAGAGAGCATCACCTATATGCACTACCGCTGTTTTGACTGACAAGACAGCAGAAAGTGGGTACCACCATTGATATATTAGGAACTCTCCCAGGAAACTTTGACTGATAGGATCAGAGGGACAGCAGCAAATGTCTCCAGGCTTATGTATTCCAGAGAAGTGAAAATCAGGACTTGTGATCATGGCAATCTTGACTTTTTTTTTTTTTTTTTTTTTTTTTAAGTCAAAGTGAAGCTTAATTAATGGCAGTCTGGTTTCCAGAAATTAAAAGTTAACTGGTTTCTGGAGCTGTCATCACACTCGAGGTTCAAGTGATGTCACTATGGAACTGACTTGTCTCCCTGGGGAGCCAGTTCTGGGGAAGTGCCAGCATAATATAATGCAGCCTTTGCATGAATTGGCTAAATGTACATCTTGCTGTGCCAGAGTCTGACTGGATCAGTAATTCTTATCAGCCTTAGTTATGCTGGATAAGCCATCAGGATATGCTCAGCTAGGAGCTTTTCTTAGCACATGGGCCAAAAACGTCTCCCTCCTTTCAAATTCTATCATGTAGAGGGAAAGGAGAACCATGTGCTGAGGATTTCTGTTTGACGGCTAATAGCACTCATGCTGCAAGTTGAGGACAGGCACCGTCGATACACTTCCTGTGGGTCCAGCTGYCCTGTCCTGGTTTGCATAGCTCTGT